ATAATATATGATCATTTAATTTTCCTCTAAAAGTGTGTGACCTTAAAACAGAAGCAATGGGCCTATTTATTGATAAAATTGTTTTTAGAGAGATGTGATTATTTTCTTTACAGAAGCCAAAAAAGCAAAAAGACCTAGAATCAGTGATGCTGTTGAGATGGTTTGTAAAAACAAGTAAAAAAATAACGAACTTCCTCTAATATGTCTGAAGTGACCAATTAGAAAATATCATGGTAGAGTGAGGGAAGCTGCCAGATATAAAGGGAGCTTATAATTAATGTTCACAGACTATTTGTATCCATCTTGACTGTTTAAGAATTACGTATGTGCAAGGGATATTGACTTCCTGTCATTACTCTTTAACACTTAGGGTAAACATTATTTGGCTCTTGTGTCAACTTTTTGTCACTGTGACAAGGCACCTGTTATAGTCTGTGGCCGTCCCCCCACAGCTTCATGCAGCAATGAGAGGTAGGGTTTTCAGAGCTGGTTGAATCTAGAGTTTGTGATTTATTCATGCTAGAATTAATGGTGTGAGTGCTACACTCACCCTGGGGCAGGTAGCCTGCATACCATATAAGGGACAGGAAGAGGCTTGGTCCTGCTGTCTGTCTCTTGTTGCTTTTGCTGTCTTCTGTCACTGTGAACTGTTGCCCCTCTGAAAGCCACCATGCCTTAGAGCCAGTTAATTATGGACTGAAACCTCTACAAACTGTGAGCTAAATAAGCCTTTCCTTCTTTAACCTTGAATGTGCAGTATTTTGTCTTAGCAATGAGAAGATAGTAACTAACACGGTACCTGAGAAAAACATAGGAAGAACAATTTGTTTAGACTCACAATTGCAGAGGCTTCAGCACATGTTTGACTGGTTCCATTGTTTTTCTAAGTAGGTGCTTTAGACCACTGAGCCATCTCACCAGCCCCTGGTTCCATTGTTTTTGAGCCAGCGGTGAGACAGACCCTCATGACAGAACGCTGTAGTGGGATATAGCTGCTCGCCTCATCAAGGCTATGTGTGTGTGTGTGTGTGGGGGGGGGAACAAGAGAATCAGAGAGGAAGAAACTGGGGACAAAATATAGTCTTCAATGGCATGTCCCTATGTCGTGCTTCCTTCAACTAAGGCCCTGTCTCCTATTTCTGTCACCTTGCAATAATGCCATTAAGGGATGTAACTCTGGGTAGAGCACTTGTCTAGCATACTTATGGCCCTGGTTCAATTCCTAGGACAAAAAAAAGCATCAAATTGTGAAACCATCAGTGCATTGATCCACTGATGAAGTCAGAGCCCTCATGATCCTGTCAATTCCCCAAGACCTTTGAGCTGGTAACCGAGCCTTCAACACAACGAGCCTTGGAGGAGTGGCACTGGAGATCCCAACTGTTAATGGTCCTGCAGTGTTACTTGTGCATATTGCATCTTTCAGTTTGCCAAGAATTTTTTAAGTTTGCACATCTTAGTTTTTTAAGTGTACCTTTTTGTTAGGTTTTAATACCAGTTCCCTGGAAACTGGAATTTCTTTTTCTTAATCCCCTCCAAGGCCTCAGCTGGTTTCTTCCTTTACACGAAGCCTTGGGATCAGGGCCTCATTGCTGGCCTGCTCACCCCACCAGCAGAGGTGTAGTAACCAGTGGTCCCCTGGGAACCTGCAGCTGAACTGGGTCAGCATGAGGCCGGGTGTAGGTGGCCCACTGGGGGATGGCTGCTGCTCTCTTTGGGGGGCTCTGGTTCTTACTTTTGAGTGCTGCTTCTTGGCTCCAGTGCACACCCTCAGCCTGCTTGCACAGATGCTTCATCCTGCTGGTGCAGAGTTGGAGGGCAAAAGTGTGTGCTCTTGATTCTCCTGGAGATGCATGTCGCACTGGCTTTCTTCCTATGAACTCGGCTGTTGTCACTGTCAGAGGAGCTTGGGACCTTGCTGTCGCTAAGGATGGCTGTGGTTCTTTTCAGGGTAGCTCTGGTGCTTACCTTGAGCATCGCTTCCTGGTTCCAGGGTACATTCTTCATCTCCCTGGCACAGGCATTCTGGCTCTCACTGCTGACCTTTGGGCCTTCCTAGTGCAGGTCTATTTATTTTATTTTTTATGTATTTAGTACAGGGTCTACAGGGTCTCACCACACAGCTTGGACTCATAGTAATCGTCCTGTTATCAGCTTCCCAAGTGCTGGGATTATAGGCGTGCACCACCAGCATGGCAGGCTAGGGATTGAACCTGGTTCCTGCACCTGCCTAAGCAGGTGCTTTAATTGCTGAGCTATCTGGCTGGCTGCAGTGCAGATCTTGGTACAGACTGGTATGTGACATTGTGGTGGGCTCTAGACCTGCAGTTGGACTTGTGTAGTATATTACCATGGAATCCAGGCCTTCAGCTGGATTGACTATTGGGTCTCTAGCGTATGGACAGATTGTTTTGCACTTTTTTGAAATTAACTCTTTGGGTGAATATTATAAAATAATCCTATAAATTATGTGTCCTATATTAAATCTTTTTTATTTTTTTGTATTCAATGCAGGGTCTACAGGGTCTCACTGCACAGCTCAGACTTGTAGTGATTCTCCTGCTTTCAGTTTCCCAAGTACTGGGATTACAGGCATGGACCACCATGCCTGATCTCAATTGTCGGCTCAGTGTGCCCCGGGGGCGGGGCTGGCAGGCAAGCTGGGGATCAAAGCCTGGTCCCTGCGTCTGCCTAAGCAAGTACTTCAATCCGCTGAGTTATCTGGCTGGCCCATCCTATATTAAATCTTTTCCTTTGTAGATTGACTACAACACTAATCCACCTTCATGGCTTTTGGCTCCTTGTTACACACAGGTTTTTTAAATTGTAGAATTTAGTAAATAGGGACATAGACTATTGATGCAGGAGACTGGGCATGCTTTCAGCATTGGGGAGGCTGAAACAGGAGGACCACTATGAGTCTGAGCTGCATAGTGAGACGCTGTACCAAATACATAAATTAAAAAAAAAGAATATTGAGGCAGAAGAAATAAGTATGAAAAAATAGGCTTTTTAAATTTTATGCAGTTTTAAATTCCATCAATATTTAGTATATTGGGACCTATTGCTTGGTACTTCAGCACACAATTTCAGGAACTATGAGCCCTTCAGAACAACAGGTCTTCTGTGGCTTCCTCAGAAATGCCTTCTCAATTTTATGCAAGGGCTTGGCATTTCAGTGTGCCTGCCCTGCATGCTTCCTGCAGGAGCAGAGTTTTGTGGGAAGACAAGCACCACTTAGGATGCGACTGTGCAGTGTCTGAAGATCTAACGAGTGGGGGTCCGGGGACCACCTCCCAAGTTCTGCAGAGCTTGCGCTTCCAGAAGTGCTGTCCCTCATGCCGTCTCAGGCTTTCCTCCTGCGCAGCCATAACACACACTTCATCTGCTGTTCATGCAGTATTTACTGCTGCCCTGGAACTGTCGATGTGCATTACAGATGTCTCCAGGGTGAGGGACGGAGTTCGTGTTTCTAATAGTGGGGTGGGCCCCAGAGGGGCTATATTGCTTCTTTGCTCCCAGTGTGGTCCCCATCAAGGTCACGCCCTTGATGGCTGCTGCCCCCACTCCCCAAAGCCTTTCTTGTCAAGTCAACTGAAAAGCAGTTAAATAATTAAATTCAACGTGCTTAATTGTAGCTTTTTTCTTAGCATGATCGTAAGAGTTTAGTATGATCGTAAGAGTTAAAGATGTCATTAGCATTTTTAAGAATAACATTTTGCAGAAATCCTTGTTTATAAAAATCTCAAAACTGTCTTTTGCAGATAGATCATGTGTTGTATATTTGTTTTTAACTTTTGGGGACTAATGCCTGGTACAATCCTGTGAAACAAGGAAATCAGAGTCTCACTGCAATTTGAAGGGAGTCTGAGCGTAGATTCTTCACCCACGAGCACCTGGTGGCTGGAGGCTGCAGCTTACTTTTTTGAACTTTGCAACTGTTTTTGTTTTTTCCTTTAAAGAAATTTTTAAAAAGCTTTCAATAATACATGCTCCTCTAATCTTGTCTTAAGAATAAAACATAACTGATATAGTTATTATTGTGAGTTCCTAGCTACAGCGCTGGCAGTGAGCCTTGGGGAGTGCTGTGTCTCCTTCCTTCTAATACACTGCAGGACCAAAAAGCAGGAGGGCACTGCCAGGTTCTCCTACACACTGATGCTGGGTAGGCAGAGGAGGATGGGACAGGGAATCCAGCCACAGAGAGACCCACCATGCTACCCGGTGCCGTGCTGGCTCCTGGCTGTGTTTAACGTCTCTTCCCTGGCTTCCCTGTGTATTTAAGCTTCAAAGCCCTTGTTATCTGTAGATACCTGGAACTCCTGCTTCTGCTCTCCTCCCAGCTGCTCTCTGCTCCAGTCCTCTGCATGAAGCTAGGCCCCAGCAGGAGTGGTGTGGGGAAGGTCTCTTCCTTTTCTTTTTCTTGAGAAATGAAGTGAGAAGGAAGCAAAGTGGCACAAATTGGCATAGTTGCTAATAAAGTAGTTATAAAGATTCTTTGATTGACTCCTGTCTTTCTGTGAGAATAGAAAAAAGTGACAACAGCCTTGAATTGATGCACAGCAGAGCAGCTCTTTTCATTTGCCCAAGATGTGTTCCCATTTTGTATATAAAAATAATAAAAATAGCCCTGGGAATGGTCAAGCAGATTGTGTTGTTACATTTCAGGCATTTCACTTCACAGGCCCACATTTAAAAATTTTCCCAACATGGTCAGTCGTGACTACCAGCAAACTCTGTGGATGGAATGAGTTGATGGGTCTTGGCAATAGCGTGTACGTGCCCATCCAACAAAATCCAACTTTTCGTGTTTCGTTTTTTTTTTTTGAAGCTCAGTGCAGTTACATTATTTCAGGATAGAGTCTTGCTCTGTTTAGGCCCCTGCTTATTGGGAACCTCTTTTGGGTGGATATGTCAGAAACTTCTTGCTGATTGACAGCACCAACGGTATCTTTGCTGACGTCTCTGACACTTCGCTGTTTTTCTCCTTTCTCCCTCAGGCGGGGCAAGAAGCACAGCATCATCCTGAGGACACAGCTGTCTGTGAGGGTCCACGCTTGCATTGGTGAGTGCCATCTGTGTCAGGGAATGTTCGCTGTTCACTCTCAGCAGTCACACAGGAGGAGGAATGTCTTGCTGTAGTGGTCAAGCGCTCACCTGGGGCCAGGCCCTTAAAGACGTAGTGAAGCCATTTCTAGCAATAATTTTTAAAGACCTGTGTCTTGCTGGTTTCCTTTATTCTTTGGGTAATGATGTAAGGGCATGAGGTAAGACAGACTGCTGTGGAGGTTTTTTTGGCAGTGGTGGAGAGATGGGGCTCTTCTTGGGATGTCACCTCGGTGTGCCTCTGGCCTGTTCAGGTGAGCCTTCCCATGCCTCCTGGTGGTTATGAGCAGCTGCTGTGGGGATGTGGTGTCCAAGTGTGCTCCAGTGATTGAAAGGAAATCTTGGGCCCATGAAGGGTGGAGGCACATGTGGAGGTGGAGCAAACCAGTGTAAGGAAGCGGAATGGGTTGCTTGCTGTGAGTTAGGGATACCACTGAGGCCGTTCCTAGAGACACTGGTTTCTCTATTTATAGACCCCAGTTCAACAGCAGCACACTGATTACTTATGCTAATAGACAACCTCATGTGAATGATCTCTAACACTGTGGCCTGGTTTCCTCCTGGCACTGGGCCAAGTTGAAGCAAGAATGTAATAATAAAAAAAAAGAACTAAAATTCACTTTGTGCACGTAAGTATTTCATATCTGTGTCATTTTACTTTCATTTAGTATTTTCTGTGGTTGTCATTCAGGCCTCTCATTAGAAGGATATAAATCATCCTGTTGAACACTACCTAGTCTGCATCTGGAGTGTGGTTTTATGAGTGGAGTGGAAGGAATGGGTCTGGGTTCCACCTCTTCCTTCTCCTCCTCCTCTTCCTCTTCCTCCTCCTCCTCCTCCTCCTCCTCCTCCTCTTCCTCCTCTCTGTTGGAAACCAGGGGTGGGGTGAGGAGCATCTGGATGTGGAGAGAAATCTGTGTCATTTTACTGCATTTTGTATGAACTTTGAGGTATTGAGTGTCTTGAGTGACAACCTTTTTCTCACTCATTGGCCACAGAGTGATTCCATAGTTGACTTGGGACTGGTGTGTCCGGGTTGTGGAAGGGTCTACACTATTTCTAGAAACACAGTAAGGTCTGTAGGACCTCAGCAAATAATAACCATTCTACCTTACAACTGCTAGTGGCGCTGAGTGACTGTAACCCCTAGAAGGACCTGGATTATATTTCAGTCAGTTTGCCTTTTCTGACCTGTTTCATATTTTCACATATTTCATATATATCAGTGTTATCTCCCTAAAGAAAAAGCCTATGGCCATCACATTAGATAAACTTTCCTCTACCTTCATCCTAAATCTAGAACAAATTCAGGCACATAACATGGCTTCACACTGTGCATGTTCACATTGAGGTATAGATAATAGCCACTGGAGATTTAGGATGTAAGAGTAAAGAATAGGAAGCAGTGGAAAGCAGACTTAACAAAAGTGGGCCACATCAAACTCTGAATGAATTAAACTGTTTTTAGGAAAACGCTATTGCAGTGTGTATTCACGTATGTCAGAGGTTTTTCATATTATTGATTTATTGCATTAACTTCTGTATTTTGTAGCTTGGTGTAATAGTTAAAAAACACGTTTTTCTCTTGGCATACTGATCACTTGGACACCTGAGTTCACAGTGAGGCCACTCCTGCCTTCCTACCCCAGGGATGCAAGTGGTTGCAACCATAACCATTGCATTGGCTCCCAAAGCTCTTTATGTCAATTGCACTGGTTTGTGGAAATCACACAGTGTAATGAAATGGTACCTGTAGATTTCATAAACTCATGAAATATACATTTCAACAGTTGCTAGTTCTTTGAAAATTCATAGACTGTTTTGGAAAAGATTCAAAGTTAGTCATTAGAAAGGCATTTATTGCCATGTAAGTGGGTTATGAAAGCCATAAAAGGCAGAGAAATATCATAAAATTGTAGAATTCTGCGCTTCACAAGGGTCTTCATTCTTGCTTAACATCAAAGAAACTGAGATCGAAAACCGTAGACTGTTGTCACAAGAGACCGTCCATAGGAACTGTGGTTGGTGACGCTTCCTCAGAGAACTCTTTGTGCTTCATCCTAGGTACATCATGATATTTGGTCACCGTAGCTATCAGTTAAAAATAGTGTTAAGATGCGTATGTATTGTTTTTAGAGGATTTTCTCCTTTAATCAGCTTTTTACTATCAATTGCCTTGAGCCTGAGTATGTCATGTGAGAGGGGTTGACTATGTAAATTAACACCCAAGAAAGCAGTTTTCCTTTGTATTAAAAACCAACCCTCTTTTTTTTTTTTTTCACTCCATTTTCGACTGTTGGCAAGATCTGGAGTAGATTTATTGTAACAGCACTAAATAATATCCTTTGGTTATGTATAGAAAATGGAATGTATGCAGCATGTTTATGAAGTGCCTCCACCCCTTGTGATATAGTCCTTCCCTTTCCAAGCAGCAACATTAGATGTCCTTTCTTTGTATTAAAAAAAAAAAAAAAATACAATCTGAATTCGATAAAGGGGAAACAGAAGTTTTTACATCAGTTGAGCCCTTGTTTCTTTTTATAATTATTTCTTCTGTCTTCTGTGTGAGAGAGGTGAATTGCTATAGGCTTTGGACAGAACAGCTGCTGCATGGGCCTAGTATTATGTGCAACACTTCGAAGACTTGATTTTTCACCTACAGTTGGCCTGCAAAGATCCAGAATCAGGATTTGCCTAAAACACTATCAATCCCTCCAAAAAGTTTCCCTCACCCTATACTGTCTTCCCTTTCATTCCTGTCTTTATTAAGTATAAGGATGTTTAGGATCCAGGACTACACGGTGATGAATTGGAGATGACATACCCTTGGACTTCTCCAGTGTTAACTCTGGAACCTTGCGCCCGTCGGGATGCAAGCAGAGTGGAGCCTTCATGCTCGGCCGCCCAGCAAACCTCATGGAAATGAAGGCCGCGGGGGCTCTGCTTTGATGGTCACAGCCAGCAGCTGAGACAGGTCTTTTTGATAATGCAGTGGTTCTGATGCATTTGGCAGGAGGTTGGAATGAGATTTTGGTACAGAGAGAAACCCTAGGCTTTTGTACCTTTATGCTCCTGTCTATTGTAATTTTTTTCTCTGTATGTTTTAACATGAACACTCGATACACCATATTGTAGCAAACAATGTATGGCTTGCTTGCTTTATCTTACAGACCCCTAAAGACATAAAATTATTGATGGTCTTATTGTGAGCATGAACTTACAGATATGAATAAAAACTTCTGATAGGCAAGAGAAGTCTGTATTTTATGAAGTTAGCAGGAGAAAAAAGTGTTTTAATCCCTGCCAGTGATCCTATTTGACAACAAAAAAATAGTCAGAGGGCCAGCTGGCTTTGATGACTAGATCTCATCATCATCATGAGGTAAAACCAGGCCAAAGGATTGTTGGGCAAAGAATTGAAGCTAGGGTGATTGGAAAAAAAAAAGTCAAAGTTGTTAGGATCCTAAAATTAATGTCTGAATATTTTCTATGTGGTGACTCAGAAGGCATTTTTTAAAAGAAGGCATTTTTATTTGCCTTCAAATCTCTGTGCTTCCATTTTCTGAAGCCGATCCTGTCTCTCATTAAGAGAATAAATCCTGTTAACTAATTCTCTGGGATCCTGAGGACCTGTGGCTTATCAGGATTCAGAACTGTGTTACAAGAAAAGGTTACAGAAAAGGGTAGAATTTGGCTAATGGCTCGAAAGTTCTATTGAGACTCTCAGCCATGAAAGAACAGCTTGGTGCAAGGCCCTTAGCGGTGTTTTCTCAAAGGCTATGTGGTGGTAAGTTCTGTCCCTGAAACCAGAGATGAGACTTGGAGAAGCCGAGGAGGTGGCTGAAGTAGAGCTAGTCTTTTTGCTTAGGAATCAAATCACAAGGAAAAAGAGCAGTTCTAAAGAAAATAAAGGAATGAAAGGAGGCTGCTTCATCCATCATGCAGAAAAGAATTTCTGGTTTTGAAATTCAGTTTTCAACAACAGAGACTTTGTCAGAAAGAGGCATCAGTACTTTATTTGCCAAGTATTTTCTTCTTGCAAACTAAAGTGTGCAGCTATGTGCTTTGCATTTCAGTGCTTTTAAGGCAAAGAAGTTAATTGCAAATGGAGCACCTCTTCAATAGGAGCCTTCTAGCGCAAGAGTAACTGAGGGGCCACATTTCATGTGCCTGTGGATTGAGGGGAGGTGGCTCTCCAGGGCAAGGCGATCACCAGGAGCCTGAGTCTGTGTGTAGTGTTAGTGGAAAATGACTGGGAATTAGTTCATTGCTGGTGATGGAGGTGGTGCATATGTGTACACGGTGCGGGGTAGCCGCAGAGGCCTAGGTGTGCGTCTTCCTGCAGAGGCCCCACATGACCGGCCATGGCCTCAATACAAGACCAATTTGGGTTGAAGTCCTGAGCCTGGAGGTTGGTGATTCAGAGCTTAAGAAAAGCAAAACAAAACAACTTTGCCCTTTTTGAACTCCATCAAGTCTGTGGCCCAGATCTGCTGTGGCTCTTATGTCCTATGTAAACTCAGGCTATGTGGCTTATTCACATATCTCCTGTGGTCTGTTTGCTGATAATCTGTCACGTGTCCCACAGAATGTCCATGTGTCTAGAAGGCCCTTGGGTTTTGGTGTGGGAGGATTTCTGAGCCAGGGTCACCTGCCATCCTCTCCTCATTCTTTGTGAGTGGCTTCTACCCTCTGTCTTATCGTTAGACTCTGATTGGCAGATGTGGCCCTCCAACTCCTAGTCCACTCACCAAAAAAAAAAAAAAAAGGCTGGGAGAAAGGATATACGAGGGATGTAAAACATACTGCCAGGTTGTTTCCTTACATGAGAGTCTGGTTTTAAAATTCTGTTGACAGTTCAGTTCTGGCACGCATCTCTCCACCAGTGCTATAATTGTATGATGCTTAGGTCGGCAGTCGGTTCTCAGCACAAGTGGGAAAAACAATAAGAAAATGAAT